CGCGTCGCTGCGAGGGGCGGCTGGGAAGAGGGCAGAACCTGAGGTGTGCCCTGGTCCTGACCTGTCTGGGTTCCGAACTTCTGGAGGACTGGGCCTGCTGCGGTTCGAGAGCTGCAGGACGCCTGGGCGGGGCTGGCCGCGGTGCCTGCGGTGGGACTCAGTGGGATCCTGACTCGGAAGCCTGTCGGCGCGAGCCTTGCACACTTACCTGCAGCAGGTTGCTGTCGTCCCACTCTCCCTTGGCCGATTTCTTGGTCCAGGGTAGAGCAGGGCTTCCGGCTGTGACCTGCCTGGCCTGGGGTGACCGTCTCCTCCATTCCCTGTGCCTCACTCAGATCATGTCCTCTTTACTACAAAGGCTTATGGCTGAGCAGGGCCTGGGTTCAGACCTGGCTCTCTGGCTCTGTCCTCACTTGCGGGAATTAACCCGAAGAAAGAGTGTATGCCTCTTTATTGAAAGGTCCGCGACGGCTTTGTGGAGATGTGCAGTTGTGTTCCACCTACTCTTCATGAGTTTTGATTTCGGCTGTGGCGTCCTGATCCCTCAGTTTGGTTTCTGAATTTGGAGCTTTTGAAATCAATGCAGTCATCCTGTCAGTTATCATGTAGTCATTCAGTCATCCATTCCAAACTTTTTGGATGGCTTCCCTGTGGTCAGGGTCTTAAATTAGATTCTAGAGTCGGCATTCCCTGCGTTTTCTTCCAGTTTGTATGCCAGCTTTATTGTTTGGATTTGAGATGGAGTTTTTTTTTTTTTTTTTTAATTTTTAATTTTTTTATTGATGGTTTACTTTTAGGTTCTAGATTTAAGTATAGAAGCTTATGACCCCATTTCATAAGATTGGGCTGTCCTGGGATTTTATTCACTTTTGCTTGCTTTCTCCTCCAATACGCCTTAAATTATGGTGACCCTGAGGGGTAATCCTGCTAACTGTACCTGTAATGACTTCAGGTCTCAGTGGCCTATCTGTGAAGTGAGGGGTTGGGATTAAACGTATTCTGTAATTTTGAGATGTTTAAGGAAAGTAGGGGTAGGTGCCATGTTTATTGATCGGTATTACTGGTTAGGAAATGGCTATTTAAAAAACACAGGATGTATTTTATGATTATATGTTTTACTGTTTCAGTGAGCATTGTATCTGTCCACATTCACTTTTTGGCTAGCAAGCAAATGCATGTTGACAGTTTAGGTTCACATCCAATTTCTGCATAGACAGCACTATGACTCATCTAAATTTTGAAATGTAATAATCATGAGCTCTTTAATGTTACATATAAAGGCATGAGAGAGAAGCAATTGCATAAGAATACAATTTTCAAAGCATTTTGATTTGTTTTGGTAGATTAGTGGTAAAATCGCTGCTTTGATTATTTCCTTACTTGTTTAATGTTAGGTAGTTACCATTGCTTGGCTAATGACTATGAATATTATGTCTATTTTAACATTTATTAACCTAAAATTTACTGAATTTTAATTGATTATTGCCTCCAGCTGATGCCTGATGATCACAAGGTGAATAAACCGTTAGTTTGAGATAAAAATTCCCATAGATGTAACAAGTTTTTCATTTGTTGATTGGTTCATGGTACTTACCAGTAGATCTTTTGGCCTTTTTCAGGATGTAAAATGTTGTGTAAAACTGTTCTTCTAAGACATAATAGTCATAGCTTCATGATGCATTTTGGGTATTGTCTGTAAACCATTGGTTGAATTAAATTGTGTATATATCACTATTAGGGGTCTGGGAAATTTAAGAAAACATAACTTTTCAAAATTTTGCTTTTGCCAGATCTTTCAGTTCTTGAAATGAACCTGATCAAGATGAGAAGTTTAAGGGGAAAAAATTAAGAGCTCAAAAAAAAAAAAAAAAAAAAAGGTGGAGTCTTTTCTAGAATAAAATTCTAGGGAAAATTTCTGAGTTTACAGACATGAACCACTGTACCCAGCCTTAAAAATCATGAATTTTTAAGCATTGTAAAAATAATGAAATTTTAATTGTAATAAAATTACAATTATAGCTATATTTGGAGGAATATATAAAGAAATAATAGTGCCAGGATTATTGGTGGGTCTAGCCAAACTTGATCTTAATTAGTATTTCTTGATTTACAGCAATAAACTTGGTTTAGCTACAAAAAGAAAATTAGAGTGATAATTTAAACTTTGATCAAGTGGGTAGTACATGTTTCTTTAGTAGAAGTGAAATCTACTGTAGATCTAGAGATGTATGGTATAATAAAATGTGGTATAGTTATATAAATATATCAGTCTGATTCACAGTTACTAATAAGTTGGATGGAGATTGTGTGTGATGAGAAGCAAGATTTGCTAAGCTGATGACAAAGGATGTTTGTCGATTTTTCCTGATTTAAATGATTGGAAACAAATTTTTAAGTGATGTGGAAGATCCCATTTATTTTCAAACAGTAGGGTGAAATGTAGTTTCTATAAATTGGATCCCCCAAGTACTTCTAACTTCATTGTTTTTTTAACCTATTCAAGTCACATTGGAGGTAATAAAATTGCATTTATGATTTTTAAGACTGGGTGCAGTGGCTCAGGCCTGTAATCTCAGCACTTTGGTAGGCTGAGGTGGGAGGATCACTTGAGGCCAGCAGTTCGAGACCAGCTTGGGCAACATAGCGAAACCCTGTCCCTACAAAAATAAAATTAAAAAATTATCTGAGTGTGGTGGTGCAGGCCTGTAATCCTGCCTACTCAGTCGTTCCTACTGAGGCAGGAAGATTGCTTGAGCCCAGGAGTTCAAGGCTGCAATGAGCTGTGGCCATGCCACTGCACTCCAGCCAGGATAACAGAGGGAGACCCAGTTTCTTAAAAAATTTGAAAAGGAAAAATATGTTTAAAATTTTTGAAAAATTTATCTTGTCTTTTATTTAATTAGCCTGAGTTACTTTAATTTTATGTATTTTGAAGATATTTCAAAAGCTTTGACTTTAAGTGTTGTACAGTATTTCATTTTTCTTTATAAGGAGACATTTCTTTAGGCCAAAGGAAGTTAAAAATTCAAAGTAAATGAATGGCCAGTTTGTTGTTATTATTTATTTAAAGCTTCATCTTTTCACATGCCTAGGGACCAATGACGTATTCTACCCAGATTCCTAAGCTGAAGATTTTAGTTCTTTTTAGTGCATTAAAATATATCTTCTAACCTCTTTTTGGTTGGATGAATGACTGCTTGCTAATTTGGCTGAGAAGCATGTTGAACAAATGTTATACAGTAATTGTGAGTGTAGTAACTGTAGTTTTGTTATGAGAGTTTCTGGCTGCTGGGGTGTCCCTTTCCCTTCTCTCTTGGCACATCTCCTTTGACTTACCTGTTTTCAAAATATGTTTTACTCTCACAATCATTGAGCATGTTGGTTTATGTAACCAAACCTTCAGGTTTTAGCATATGCTTTTCAGATATACACATGGGGGAAAAAGGAGGAACCTTTTTGTTAAAGTTGTCTTGAATTGTTGAAACATTTAAGTAAATGGAATTTTTGAAGAGTCAGAGGTAGTACAGATATTGTATTCATTATTTATTCTTTCATTTGACCAAGACTGCAATTGCTTTGATCTCAGCTCCCTAACTTTTCTTCAAGGAACTTACAGTATTGCATGGACACCATCAATAAGGCCAAAATACAATGAGATAAATATTATAATTAATTGTTTGCATAATACAGTGGAGAAGTGTGTGAGGTTTGAGGAGATTCAGAGAAAGCTTTATGGAGGAATTTTTGTCTAAACTGAAGCTGAAAGTGAGTAGGAATTAGTTGGTGAGGATGGAGATAAGACATTCCAGGCACAAGAAAGCAGTAAGAACAAATGGACAAATTAGAGACAGAATATAGATCCTTAATGTGTTAAAATGGAGAAAAGAGAGATGAGGTTTAATAAGTAAACAAAGGCCAAATAATGAAAAGCTGTCTTCTCCATCATATTAACCATTTTGAACTTTATCCTTGAGGCTGTGGCGATCTATGGGTAATAGATTTTACGTGGAAGAAAATTTAAGATCAATTTTGTGAGGCAATGTGAAGAATGAATTGTAGTAGAGTAAGACAGAAATGTCCATTAGGGAGCTGTTTTTGTGTGTGTGTGAAGGCAAAATATGGTAGAGCTCCTCAAATGCAGTGGGGATTAGATAATAGGATGGATTCAATATATATTAAGGTGATTGAGTTGGTGGCCAGTTGGATGTGGGGGATGAGAAAGAAGTGGAGTCAGGGATACTGTCCAGGTTTATGGCTTCCCAAGATATGAATCACATGAGGAATATCTTATTGTGTGGGGAGAATTAGATCAGTTGTGGACATGACTTTGGGTCACACAATTGGTGCTGTTTAGTGGGCATTTGACTTCTTTGGTTTGGAGATGAGAGGATTCTAGGCTGAAGATAGATATTAGGATGTTTTCGTCTTATAGGTAGTTAAAAGCAGTGTGAGAATGGATGAGATGCCTAAGGGAGAGTTAGTGGAATAAGAAAGAATAAAAGAGAAGGGAAACTCTGGGAACTAGTATCATACAGGAAAGATGATTCAATAAAAAAGCCTGAGAAGGAACAGTGGATCTCTAGGGGATAAGGGTGGAGAGAATTAGAGGAGAGACTGGTCAAGTGTCAAATGCTATAGGAAATGGGAGGGAGAGCTGACTAGAGATTTTAGGAGGGTTTGTCAGATAAGCAAGGATCATTAATTTGTAATAACATTAGTTTATACAATTGTGTGACTTTTGCCCATGAAATTCAGTTGATCCAGAGAAGATGAATAGTTGGATTGATGCAGTATTTGGATTTTGTTATGTGCACATGGTAAAAATGCAGAGGGATTCAAAAAATTATAATATATATATATATTTTCTGAGTCGGAGTCTCATTCCGTCGCTCAGACTGAAGTGCAGTGCCATGCTCAAGGCCACCGTAGCCTTGGCCTGCTGGGCTC